TGATCTTGACGATTCAGTGGAATGATATTTTCACCGTTGTGCTCACGCAAAACAACAATAAGTAAAACTCGGTGCATAATAAACAGCCAGTCTCGTGTTTGATTGATGCTAGGTTTTACGAATAGACACAACGTTCATCATATGATACTTGCAATCAGACTGTGGTTTTGAATTGAAATCCTTTTTTGGTATAACCATGCATTGTACAATTGACAAGTTTGAAACCAAACTCATGCATTGTAATCCAGATGCCGGGTTTGAATATTTTCAATCAAACTCATGTTTGTTGTACTCTATATCAACTACCAGAAAAAAAGACCAGTGAGCTAAAGAGATCAAAAAACAATGTTGCACAGTAAACTGAAACCAATCATTTCATAAGATTGACCGTTTATTATACACTAGTCTCTTATTTACGTGAATACAGTGGTGAAAATGTTGAAATTGAAAGTACAATATGATATACTACAGCGAGTATACCAATGACTCGTCATTTTTGAACGAGTCAAGTTGGTCGAGTTGATCAGATCTGATATCAACACAACTATTTTGTTAGTCTCGGTATTCTACTTGATACATGATGTGTAAATACGACTTGTCAACTGATATTATATCAACAAAACACATGCATGTCATGATCATCAATTTGTACAGGCATGCAATATATAACCAACTGTATTTAAAATACAAGTGTCAAAGTACAATGATATCAGCAAGCATGTTGATCAAGACTGGAATGATCAAATTCAACACATGTGTGTTCAATGCACTGTAATGTAGTGTAGTGTATTTATTACAAGTTGAATCAGTAATGCGGTTGTAGAATGACAGTCGATTAGATTAGAATCAGTTTGGATTAGCACTTGAATCAATAACTCGCGATCTTCATCTCAAGACCGACTCAAGAACGATCGACTTTCCATGCAAGACTGGATGAAACTTTTCGCACACTAGATGCAGCTCTCTGTAGAGTGGATGAAGCTCTCTGTAGAGTGGATGCAACTCTTCGTAGAGTGGATGAAGCTGTGTGTTGACTGGGTGGAACACTGGATGATGTTTGAGTAGGATGAACTATAGATGGACTCATCGATGACGATTCGGTAACATCAGGATCTTCCAAGATCTTGGGGAACTTTTGAGGGTTGCGCATTACATCTTGATACGATGGAAGTTGATCACCTGGGTTCTGTTGAATCACTTTATAGAGTTTAGGATTCCTCATTACAACTTTGTATGATGGTGGTGGACCTTGAGGTTGTGGTGAACCTTGCGTTCCACTAGT